TACGGAGCGGTCACGTAGCTATTACAGAGGCAGGAAGCAAACTTTGAGGCCCTTAATGCTATACTATGCCACCTCTGATGATGGGAAGGGAATTGAGGTCTTGTAATAGTCACCTCTCCTTCAGAAATCCCTGATTGTCAAAGAGCAAAGTGGTCTATCAAGAGGTTAGCTAATGTGAGTATGGATGTTTAGAGGACCAAGGGCAGAGAACAGGAGGGTGTTTACAATGACATAACTAGAACTAGACTGAGATGTGGTCACCTTTGGAAAGAAGAATCTCTAAATATTTGTTCAGCATTTATTTAGTACATTATGAGAGCATCTGATTTTCAAGCAATGAAAACGGCATGCCTCTTTCTTTGTGTTAAAAAAAAAATTTACAATCTTCTCACTGTATCCTCACACTTATTTGGAATTTTCTAGGAATTGTGATTTTCAGAATCAGATAGTTTTGGGGAGATATATTAAAGAGTTTAAACTTTAGACATAAAGTAAATCACTCCCAGTGAGCAACACTGTACTATGTAATTTTCAATTTTAGAATATTAGTTAGCTGGTTTTGGTGTTGATGGTACATCTAATAATCATACTATACACTTTTCACATGAAAAGGACTAAAATACTCACCTTGGATTGGTTAATTTCTAGCTAAGTATATTTTAAAAATTTCTACTCCAATGTGCTGCTTCAGTTGGTTTCAGCAGGTCCAATTTATCTGATCCTAGTTAGTTAAGGAGTCAGGTGGAAACTTGACTGGATGGCACCATGTTCTCATTTATTCCAGTGATATTTTATCATCCTTTATAGATTGGTATCCCACCCAGCTAGAGCTGAACAGGTAATAGCAGGCTCTAAACAGCCCGAATGTTAATCTCTTTTAACAGACCTGTGAAAGTCTGAATCTTTTCTTTAGAAATGATTGATAGGCTGGCAAACTTAGGTATGATTCCATGGTTTGAATATATCCCCGAAAATCTCATGTATTGAAAACTTTAAACATCCTATTTTTATGTTAATGGCATTTGGAGAACGTTGGGAGGTAATTAGGATTCAATGAGATCATGAGAGTAGGGACTCCAGGATGGCATTTGTGGCTTCATAAGAACAGGAAGAGATTTGAGTTGGCACACTTGCTCTGTCTTGTGGGTGATACTTTCTGCCATGTTACAAAGTTGCAACAAGTCCCTCACCAGATTCTGAAAAGATGCTCATGCCTGGTTCTTAAGACTCCTATTCCCCAGCACCAGGAGTCAAACAAACTTGTATCAATTACTAATTTTTATAAATTACCCAGTTTATAGTATCTATTATAGCAATAAACATGGACTAAGACATATGGTGAGCATTGAAGTGAGCCACTAGAAGAGAACTTGAACTTGACATGTTATGCCTTTCCTAAACATTGGAGTTCACAAGTCAGTGAATTTATGCATTGACATTCCAGGGCAAGAGGAAAGTCCCTCAGGAATTCCTAGTTCGGTTGACTGAGCACATGATCATTTCTTGAACCTGCATGGTTGAGATGAAGAGATACATTAGACTTTGCCAGTTTGGGAGATTATAATCTATTTGGTAAATGTGTGAGTACCACAGATTAAGATAAGGGGTGAATGACTTCCAAAGTGGTTGGCCTAGAAATATAGGTCTTGTCTGAAGGTACACTGTAGCTCATCTTGGAGACTTAATTCATCAAGCCGTCATTATCATCATCATCATCACCCCAACTTCTAATATGTCAACTTTCACTTAAATCTCTGCCTTGTATCCATTTCTTTGAGATTGTAGTACCTTGGGATTTTTCTTTCACATTTCTATATTGCCCAATATGTATGCATTGGAAATAGGGAGAAGAATGAGTAATTCCAGCTCAGTTTGCCACTTTGCTGGTTTTCTCCCATAGAAATTCATTTAACAAGCATTTAGTGATTGTTTATCATGTGGTAGGCATCACTGTAGGAGTTAGGGATAAATTAGGCAAAAATCTTTGCCTTCATTAAACTTAGATTCCTCCAAAAACTTATGTGTGATAGGAAATCATTCTAGGTTTTACATATATTACCTCATTAAATAACCACAATCACTGTTGTCAGATGTGTCACATTGTCTTCAATTTACAAATAAGGAGTCTGAGGTATACAGAAATCACACAGTTAGTGAGCAATAGGGCTAGGCTACAACCCCAAATCATGCAAGTAGTGAGTTCATAGTTTTGTCACTACTCTCTATAAGCCCTTTCTGAATGTGCACACCTAGCATATGGTGGGCTCTTAATGACTGTTTTTGAATAATTAAATAAAATGAATGAACAGTCATAATATACTGTATCATCTGCTGTTTGTCTATCCTGTAGTACAGGAAAGTCTAACTTCTAGTGCCCATCCCGTGAACTGATAGGAAACAAGCCAGACAGCAGGAATGTGCAGCAGGTGAATGAGCTGAGTTTCATATGTATTCATAGCTGCTCCTCATCACTCCAATTACTGCCTCAGTTTGCCTTCTGTCAGATCCACAGCAGCATTAGATTCTCATAGGAACATGAACCTTACTGTGAACTTCATATGCAAAAGATCTAGATTGTGTACTCTTTGTATCCTCCAGAAACCATTCCCCCAAGATTCCTACTCTCTCAACATCCCCACCCCCCATCTTTCTCCCCCTCCAATCTGTTCAACCCCCATTCCCCATCTGTGGAAAAATTGTCTCCTATGAGACCAATTACTGGTGCCAAAAAGATTGGGCACTGCTGCTCTAGTAGATTCTGAGCTCCTCGAGGATAAGAACAATGTCTTCTTTGACTGTATCTTTAGTGCCAAGCACAGGACCTGCATGGAATACCTACTTAATAAAATGTTGAACATTGGAATGAATGCACTTCCAAAGGCTCTCAGAATGACAATGCTTCACAACTTTGGCCTATGAAAGAGTCACCTGTGAGTCTAGAAAAATGAAGACACCATGACTATACACGAATCTTCACAGGCCCCACAGTGGGTCTGTATACCTCCTTCTGGACTCTCTTCATAGGGGCTGTCAGAGCATAGGGCACCATGGGTTGCTGAGGGGTCACTAAAGTCTTGAAGTTTAGATCCTTTGAAGCATGATTTTAGAGAAAATCCTTGAAAATCTATAAGAAGTAATTTACTCCTCAGGGAACCCTAGGAAACTGCCTTCTATACATAGAGTAACTCACACTTGAGTTTCAAGGTCATCATCTCAGATTTGATGTTCTGTAGGTTGTTATAAGGAACTGCATTCTGTCATCTAACCTTGCTGAGCAAGGCACTTGCAAGCTTCTTTGAACACATCTTCATTTCTATTACAAGTGATGGTCTGAACAGCAGCATTGATTTTGGGGAGGGTATTAATGTAGGTATTTACACTAAAACACTTCAGACAGCAGAAGTTAAGAAAGTGGAAGGCTATTATGTAATAAAATGAACACTGGGTAAAGAACTCTTCCTCTTAATTGATCCCCATTGTTCTCATCTGCTAACTAAGAAGGCTGGGTTAGATGATCTCTAAAGGCTTTTCCACATAATATGCAATAATATCTATCATATATTGCATGCCTACTATACCAACCATTCTTTCGGCACTCTACCATCATTGTTTCTAGTAGTTAATTCTCAGAATAAAGTAACAATGTAGTCATTGTATCCCAGAGAGATTTACAACTGATTTATTCATTTAATGGTGATACCTTATTTTGTTCCAGGCTTCAGGCTAGATAGTGGGTACTTTGTCAAGCAGTGGGATCTAAGTTGTCCATTGCCACAAAGGCAGAGAAATCAACCCCAGGTATGTAAACTGAAAAACAAGCTCTTTCTTCTACTTGTCACATTTTTCTTCTAAGAGTCCATGTCTTTGAAGTATATGTGAAATCACAGACTTTGTTCCTAATTTCTATAACAGTGGTTTCTTGGGCTGTATATTAGAATCCTCCAAAACCCTACCTCAACCAATTAGGTAAGCATCTCTGGGAAACATGAAGGGAAAAATCAATGTTTTATTTTAATAATTCCCCAGGTGATTCAAATGTGCAGCCAGAGTTTAAACCAAGTCTTGTAGGGTCTACTTTTATGAAAAAATATTTCTAATTGTGGTAAAGTGGACATACAAATTTACCATTTTAAAGTGTATAGTTTAGTCATATTACGTAGGCTCACGCTGTTATATAATCATTCTTTCCAAAAATTTTTTTCATCTTTCCAAACTGAAGTCCTGCACCTAATAAACAAGCTCCCATTCCATTTTCCCTCCACCCTCTGGCAACCACCATTCTATTTTCTGTCTTTATGAATTTGTCTTTTCTAGGTACTTCATATAAGTGAAATCATACAATACTAATATTTTTGTGACTGGTTTAATTCACTTAACATAATGTCCTCAAGATCATCTGGGTTGTAGCATATCAGAATTTTCTAATTTTTAAAAGCTGAATAATATTTAATTATTCTATGCATATACCACATTTTGTTTATCTATTATTCATCCATCAATGGAAATTTGGGTTGCTTCCAACTGTCAGCTATTGTTAATAATGTTGCTATGAACATGGGTATATAGATAGCTTATAAGACCCTATTTTCAATTATTTGGGGTATAAACCAATAAGTAGAATTTCTGGATAATATGGTTATTGTACTATTTTTTTTTTGGTTATTGTACTATTAATAACAAAGAATTGCCACATTGTTTTCAGAGTGGCCATACTATTTTACATTCCCATTAACAATGCACAAGAATTCCCAATTTCTCCACATTGTCACTAACAGTTGTTATTTTATGCTTATTTTTTTCCTTATGGCAACCATCCTAATGGATGTGATATTGTAGGCTCTAATTTAAAATTAATTCTAAATTTAAAAGGTGAGATTGTATGTTCTAATTTAAAATGTATACAGTATATCTATTTCATCGCATAGTCTTAGTTATTTGTGAATTTTTAAATGATTTCACTTTCATTTTGGATTATTTTTCTTTCATTTGAAGAATCTCTCAGGATTCAATAATGATCACTCAGAACCTCAAGGAGCAAGGTGACGTTGAAGAGGTATTTAAAAGGAGCTCTGTTTTCAAGTTGCTTAATATCTAGCTGAGAGCTTGCTGAGAACCTTGCTGGATTTTTGTCTGAGCTCAAGTCATGCCTGCTTCTGTCTGATGATTTACTAAATTGTTCACATGACTTGGAAGACAGAGATGGCTGAAAGCACATTATAGCCCAATGAAAGGTGAGAAGATATTTCATGTAGAGAGACTAAATGGGGTGAATTGTGGAGCTAGAAATGCAGATGGGAGTTGGGAAAGAACACTGGTCTGATTAGAACTCAAACTTATGTTAGAAGAAGGTGGGAAATAACACCAGGTCAGTTGGAGCTGGACTGGGAAGTTTTTGGAAGTCAGACGGAGCACTTGGGATTGCTAGGGCAGGTTGGAGATTTCTTCATCAGAGCCACGCACAGTGGGATCTAAGAAGTGTTTTGTTTAATGGGAGATATAAGAGAGGCACTGTGCTGAGTAAGTGATCACGTGGCAAAAGCATCACCAAAGACGGTAGAGTAAAAGAGTGAACCTAAAGCATACACTTAAGGGAGAAACTGTCAGCTTTGGAGACAGGTTGAAAATGGCAACCCTGAGAAGCTTCTTTCAGGACTATAGAATATTTCAGGGATGAAATGGTTACCTCTTCATAGAAGATTTTTATTGTATGGGAGATAGGGTTCTCTGGTACTGCTAGTAGTTAGGTTTATGTTTGAGTACAAGGGACAGAAAAACAAAAAAACCCCAACCAACCAACCAACCAAACAAACAATTTAAACAAGATATAAGTCTATTTTTCTAACATTAAAACCAAGTCCAGAAATGAGCAGATCAGCCTTCACATGACTAGCCGAGGTTCCCATGGTCATATAAACCTCAGCGCATGACCTTTGCTCTTTCTCTTCCTTTCACTCCCATCTGACTGTTAAAGCCCCAGCTTTCTCCTTTTCTCTCCCCCACAACCACAACCAGCCAGGAGTAAATGCCATTTTGTATTTGCGATATGTCTTGTCTGCCCTTTCACTTAAACCCTACTGTCCCAACCCTGACTTCAGCTTTCTCTTTTGGACATTTGTTTCAGCCTTCTCAAGTGATCTTTCAGTCTCTCCCCTAATCTATGCCAAGTTAGCCTTTTAATGTTATTTATTTATTTAGGTACTGGGAATCAAACTCAGGCTTCACACTTGCCAGGCAGGCGCTGTGCCACTGAGCTACATTCCCTGACCCAATTTAGCCTTTGTAAAGAGGACATCACTCCTGATTCACAGGTCTCTGATGATCTCCTATAGCTTCTAGAATAGTTAAAACTCTTTACCTTGATGTTTAAGGCTCAAGGCCCATTAACTAAAATATTTCCACCAAAAACAATGATCTCATTTCATTTCACCATTCTCATTTTAATCTCATCTAACTTTCTAGAGAGATGATTTTTAGATAATTTCTGTTTAGGAGGATGAATGAACAGGAGAAAACATGAATTGAAGTGTTTTCATATTCAAGGGCAATAACAAGCTCACTCCATGTGGTGGAGCAACTTGTAATGCCCGGCTGAACTGAATCAGCATTGTCTGGGCGTAGAGGATCCACCTGAGGATTATTACTGATAGCCATAAAAAGAGAGCTGGAGGGGAAGATCTCGGCCTGTTGATTTTCTAGGAAAAGCTTGCTGCAGATGGTTTTCCTGATGTGAATTAGGCTGCTCTCATTGGAGGAGGAGCTCAGGGCCTCACTGTAGCTGGGAATGGCTGCTGTTTTTGTCAGGGGAGCTCTGATCTTCACTGTGAACATCACTTCTTGGCTCCCATGTGGATCCCTCAACTTGGTGGGACAAATCCTTCATCTCACCAGCATTGGTTTTCTGGCTTCCACATTGGCCTTTGAGCCTTCCAGGTGCAGATCCTTAATACAGATAAGCTTGAGACATTGCTATGGGCCCTAGGCCGCTGGCTAGACTCGTGGAGGACATTGCTTTGGACTCTAAGCCTTTAGCTGGACTTGTGTAGAACATTGGTGGGATCCTGGCCCTCAGCTGGATTCTTTGGGCCCCTAGTGTGCAGTTAATCTCTTGCACTCCTTTGCATTTGACTTTCTGGGTAATTATCATAAAATAACCCTATAAACTATGTGTCCTGTAGTAAATGCATTCCTTTGCCAAATCCTGACTACAACACTCCATTTCCCCTTTTCAAATGCAGTTCAATTTTGTCTTATTAGGTCAAGAGTAGTTTTCAAGCTTACCAAAGATCCTTGAGGTTTATTTGGTTTTTGTTTTCTTTTGGGTTTTCATTTTTTAAAAATTCTCTTTCAATCCCCACAAGCCAGAGTTGAGAAGTTAGAGTTAAGGACCCTGAAGAAGGTTGACTGACACCCAGGAGCAGGCTGTCTGAGGTATGGAACATAACTAAGGGCTCATAGTTTTTGAGGTCTGCTTTACTCTGGGTGCTTTCTTCATGCAGAGATCCAACATTTCCTTCTTTGTTCAGAGGGAAGAGTACTGGACGGGTGATGGAAAGGGAGCTAGTATTCTTCAGGAGCATCTCTGGGCCTGATATTGGATGGATGTGGATTAAAATTAACTCTAATGTTCATTCTCTTGTGATACTGGCATTTGTGTCATATCTCTATTCTTGGTTACCTCCCCTATAAAGTGAGAACTAATTGCATGATTCTCTACCCTCTTATTGCTAAAAAGATCAACAATGCTGGATTCAACACTTTTCTAACCATATATAGCACCAGCATTGTTCCTTAACAGAAATTTTTTAAAGTCCTGGAGGTTAAAAATCCAAAATCGAGATGTCAGCAGATCCATGGCCCCTCCAAAGGCTCTAGGGAAGAAACTTTTCTTGTCCTTTCCTAGCTTCTGGGTTTCCTGAAATCCTGGGCATCCCTTGGCTTGTTGATGCATCATTCCAATCTCTGGGTCCATCATCACAGGATCTGTGACTCTTATAAAGCCACCAGTCATTGGATTAGCATCTGCCAAAACCCAACATAACTTCATCTTAACTAATGACATTTACAAGGACCTTATTTCCAAACAAGTTCTCGTTTTGAGGTTCTGGGTGGATATAAATTTGAAGGAACACGGGGCTAGGGATTTAGCTCAGTGGTTCTGCCACCTGCCTTGCCAGTGCAAGGTCCTGAGTTCAATCCCCATTACAAAAAAAAAAAATTGAAGGAACACTATTTAATCCAGGATATTCCCTGATTAAGTCTTCTAAGAACTAGGTAAGATAACATAGGCTGAGGGCCAATTACTACTGTAGAAGTATGCAGCAAATGGTTGCTCTTTCTGCAGCTACTGTTGCACTATTTACTCTTCTGGCTTCCTGACCCTCTTTCCCTATTCCTACGCCCATATTCCTACTTCCTGACCTGCTAAACTCTCCCTAGGCAAGAAAAGATCGATGAATCTAACAATGAATCTAAAATTCTCCTCTATAAGGGAAAGTTTGTTTTGTTTTGTTTTTAATTTTTGCAGGGAGAGAATAAGAGAAGGTATTAGGGACCAAAATATCTCATTAAAATGACCTATAAATGGGAAATTGGGAATATATTATTTTAAGGAATTGGCAGGCATATACAAAAATATTCCCAGGCCACTAACAACTACATGTGCAACTAAATTCATATTCAACAAACAATTGAGCTGGTACCTTCTTATATCAGCAATCTGTAAGTGATGATAGGAAATGCTTTCAATAGGGGCAGGTGGAGCCCTCCAGAAATATGGAAAATTGATTCAAGAAAACATAGCAGGGAGATTGTAGGAGACAGATTGGTGGAAGGGCTGCCAGATGCCCAATTTCTAGTCCAGCTCTGCCTCTGACTCCACTTGTGATTTTGACCAGGTCCTTTTCCCCATCTGGATCTGTTTCCCTTTATGAGAAATGAGGGATTTGGTCATGGAGAATTCTTGCACCACATACCCGTGAAGGGCCTTGAAGAGCAAAGACTTAGGGGAACTTACAGAAAGGGCTTATGAAAACTTGCCTCCTTAACAATGCTATAAAAGCTGTACATTCAATTTGAATGATGAAAAAATAGTGGCGATACATGCTGGTGATAGTTATACAACACTGTGTAACCCTGAACTGTACACTTTAAAACAGTAAATATTGTTATGTACTTTTTCTCACAGTAACAATAAAAATCATACACTTATAGCACAATGCTTCATCATTTATTAGCTCTCCACATCTACTTTGTACATATGAGCTTCAGAATAACCCTGTGAGGTCAACACAGTAAATATATTCCTATTTTACAGATAAGGAAACTGAGGTTTGAAACAGGGTGCTCCTGACTGCTGATGAAGAGTTTGTTGTTCCTAACATCCCAGAGTGAATTATGCACAGGCTCACTTCAGGAATGGAGATGTGTTCCTGGGCCCCATATCACCTGACACACTGCCATGCACTATGGGAGCTCTGTGACTAGCTTCTTGTGCTGGTGACTCAGACGTTGTGGAGAGGAAGGAGAAACTAATGCATAGGGGGTGATTCAGCCAATATGTATTTACCTAGCACTGACTGACATGTGCCAGGCACTGACTGGCTCAGTATGAAGGAAGCAGTCACAACCACTGCACACAAGGAAGTTAGTCTTATGAGAAGACAGGCACTTAAGCAAAAAGTACCAAAGTTTATTTGAACAAGCCTGGTAGGGTGCTACAGGGGGGAGGTTCCGGGTGCTTTGGGTGTGAAGAGTGGAGATCCTTGCTGACACTGTGAGGCAATAAGAGAGACCTGCATAGAGGAGGTGAGATTGCAGGTGAGACCTGGCAGAGGAGTAGGACAGGGCTGGCACTGAGGGTAGACCATCAAAGGGTTCCAGGAAAGGTGGAGAGAAGACTATATGGGAAGGTTCTGTTTAACTTCCTTTGTTGTAATGTTAACTTCCTCAAAGAGCACTTTTGAAAACAGAAAATGGTTTCAGGAGCTGTTATTTTTTGCCTCCTCACATTTGAAATTGGGCTAGACAGAGGAAGTTTAATGTGAAACTTTTAGTGCACTGTGCATTAATTAATTAACTTACAATGTATTGAATATCAAAGGAGTTTAATGTCAAAGCAAAAGCTCTGACTCCTCCAGCCCCTTTCAGTGTTCATTTGTGAGACAATTTCCCTTGCAATGATCCTCAGAGATTTAGAAATTCTCCCTTTAATCCCCTTAGACACTGAAGGGTGTGCCTCTTAGTGAGCTTGTGTGTTGGGGTAGACAAGCAGTATTTCATGGCTCATTCTCTTGCTTCTCTTCTTATACCTCTTCTGGGCTTCTCTCAGTGGTGAAGACCAATCCTCAGCAGCTCTTTTCCTCTTCACTTAAGGCCATTTTAGGAGATCATGGTGCAGGAAACACTAGAGATGTGTTTTGAGAATCCTTGTACTGTCTTGGTCCTTTTCCTTAATGATTCCATGGCCCTAATAACTCCTCACTTGCAACATGGGGACGATAATGCCTACTTCATAAGATTAGTCCTTAGAATTGTCCAGATTTTCATTTTATAGATGTAGCAATGGGACTCAGAAAATGAAATGATTTGTTGAAAGTCATATAGCTGACAGCAACAAGAGGAATGGAGCTGCAATCTTTTGTCTCTAAATCCAATGTCCTTTCCACCAGTAAACCTTGTCATCTGTGCATCATGTTGTACTGAGGTGTTGCCAGTGGATCCTCAGTGTCCAAAATATCCATCTCCTGAAGTAACCAGATGAAGCCTGGGGCTACAAGAAAAAGTATGAGAGACTCTGCACACAGGCCACCTGAGAAAAAGCAAAACTCAGATGAGCTAGTTTTGCTGCATGTGATCTCATTGCCAATTGTCTTTTTGCCAAGTCATTGGTCGGAAGCAGAACTCTCATCTCCATTAGAATATGAGTCTAGGAGTGCTGAATGCTTTGCATGCTACATTGCACACACTAAGTCTGTGGTGTGGTCATATCTCCATTTCCCTTTGAGCTGAGCAGCTAAGGTCATGTATCCTTGAACTCAACCCTCAACAGAGTCACTTTGCAGTCATTCTGTGCATGCTAATGTCAAGTTCAAATTATGACACTGCTACTTCTCTCATTTCCATCACCCCAATTCCAAGCTTATCAGGCATAACTATTTGACTTTCATTGTCCTTGCATGGACTTGGTCACATTTCATGGGCTTTGAGGCCACCCTCTTTTTAGTTAGAAAACATGGGTGAGTTGGTGTATTCTTTTATTCTTCTTCTTCTTCACTGTTAATTCCCTTTTAAAAATCAAAGCATAGGAGAACTTTAAGCATTTTGAAAGAGACAGCTAATCAATACACATTATTCTGCAAACATTCTAGGAAATTCAAGGAAATTATAAAGTGCCTCCTAAAGACCTCTTCAGATATCTGTGTGCCTCCCCTTCAGAAAGAAAGTTTCCTCTTGGCACATAAAGAAGTGAAATTAGGCCCAGAAGAGACTTTCCTTGTTGGAGCGTGAATGTCAAAGAAACAATCTTCAGTAAAACAGCTTTCTCTCTCAGCATGCTCTGGAGAGAAGAACAACTTTGGATGGTGGTGATGCCTGTGCAGAGCATAGTAAGTTTGGGGAATCACAAGAAATGATATTTGCATAAGGTCTGATTGTCTTGCTAACTAAGGATTTTCATTCATTCCAAATTTGGTTAAGAACTTTCTACTTCAGAGTACACTGTGATCTGGTAGCCACAGAAGGGACATTACCCAGACTCTCACCAGGCTGGCAGCAGGTGCCTTTATCAAGACTCATGGTACCTGCTTGGAAACTGTCCCCTTCCTTAGACATGTGGGACAAACACCATCCTGTCTGCCAGCTTCAGAGCAAGGACTTCCTTATCTCTGGGCCAGGACATCCTCTATCCAGCCCAGAAGACACACTCCTTGGAGGATATTTATTAACACTTTCCTGGTGACCAGCCTGCATAGTGCAGAGACTTCATGAGAAGTGGCTTAGAGACAAAGACTGTCCCTAGGAACTGAAACTTCAAGAGTTTTGCAATCATTAAACAAGCTAAAGTTCACCTTTTCTGAGTGTGAGTCCCATGAACCCTGTTCAGACAAGGCCAATAGGCTGGAAATCTCCTTTGGGAAGCAACCTCAACTGAGCATCCTCCCAGGGTCAGAGGGAGGTCATGTTTCCCACGACTCCCTGGGTACTAGACGCTGCCATCCAACAGAGGTCTCTGGGGTGCTCATTGTGGTCCAGGCTCAATGTCTCTGCTCCCCAGATCTAGGAATTCTTTTTTTTTAATTTTTAATATTTATTGAGTGTATATAAAAAAGCATTAAAATTTTCAACATCGACTTTTTTGGTATACAAAGTCTAAAAAAGAACAATAAAAATTAATTCCTATATGAACTACATTGAAAATACAAATAGCACTCTACAAAAAAAAAATTTTTACTTCAATTATCAAACCCAAGGCAGTCCTCACACATAACAGCAGCAAGTTCCATACACAGGTAGCACTTATACTGACAGCACATGTGTTTTGCTTTCCTGGCTTTTCTGTAGGATGTATTTGACATCTTACTGGCCTTGCTGTTTTGTCAGGAGGTTCTTATTATATTATACAATGTGTAGTTAACAGAAACATAAAATATCAATAAAATAAAGTATTAAATTATGAATATGTAGTGTACATTTAGAATAAGCATCAACATTTTCACATCAGCTGTGTACTTATAAAATCTAAGAGATAACATCAGAAATAAAAACCTATCTGAACTACATTGTAAACACAAACAAAAGTCTGCCTCAGAAATAATCTTTGGTTCAACTGTCACACTCAAGGCAGTCTGCACACATGACAACTGAACATTCCACGCACATGTCTCCCTTACACTGACAGCTCATATGCTTAGCTTTCCTTTCCTATGTGGCAGTCCATTCTTGTCCCTTCTCTTCTCATCCTGTTTTGTCAGGAGCTTCCTACTATGTTGTACAATGTGCACTTAGCAGGGAAATAAGTTATCAATAAAATAAAAATCAAATATGTAATGAGTGCTTAGAATAGACATCAACATTTTCACATTAGCTGTTTACTTGCTTACAAAACCTAAGAGATAATACCAGAAATAAAAAGCTACATGAACTACAATAAAAATACCAATAGACGTACACGACAAAAATAATCTTTGCTTCAATCATCACACCCAAGGCAGTCTTCACACATGAAAATTGTATGTTCCATACACAAGTATCACTTACACTGATAGCACTTACGTTTTGTTTTCCTGTCTTGTAGGGCACAGTTGACATCTTTTGGTTTTCCTGTTGTCAGAGTAGGTCTTTGTGATGCTGCGCCTGCCTGTTCACCTGTCAGCTCACCAGTGTGCTCCACAATGTTTTTGTGTAGTTCTCTGGGCAGAAACATTTGTTTTTCTTCTGCTATAAAAGATTTCTTATGAGTTCCAGTCCCAATCCTCTAAGAAAGTTTCTCCATGGTATTTTCACTTGTTATTTTCTTTGTAAACCATTAAACTATTTATGCCACACATGTTTAGGATTGAGTAAAACACAACCATTGGCCAATACTCTGTGTTTTGAGTGATGACATCACAGTTTCTGCATAACTCATCAACAACACCTACTCTACCTTTCTTCTTTCTTCTTCTTCTTCTCCTCCTCCTCCTCCTCCTCCTCCTCC